TTTTTTAAACAGAGTCTTACTATGTCACCCTCAGTAGAGTGCTGTGGCACCACAGCTCACAGCAACCTCAAACTCTTGGGCTTAAGTGGTTCTCTTGCCTCAACCTCCCAAGTAGCTGGGACTACAGGTACCCACCACAATGTGCAGTTATTTGTTTTGTTATTGTTTAGCTGGCCCGGGCTGGGTTGGCACCTGTCAGCCCCAGAGCATATGGCTGGCGCCCACTGAGCCACAGGCACTGAGCCCAGGGTGGAACTTTTTTTTTCAGTTTTTGGCAGAGGTCAGATTTGAACCCAGTACCCCTGGTATATGGGGCTGGCACCCTACTCCTTGAGCCACAGGTGCCGCCCAAGGGTGGAACATTCTTAATTGCTTCATCACTCAGCAGCCTTACATGGCACAGGTGATTTGGGTAGATAAGATGTGGAGTCACTTTTGACAGGGCAGTATTTACGTTAATTCTTCCCCCATGTTCTTGGGCAATTATATATTGTTAGGACACATAGTCCTGTACTACAACGTCCCAGTGTGATGAATTGCTCTCTGCTCAACAAACATGCCTATATGTACATTTTAAGTCCAGCAGACTCTATTGGCAAAAAGCTTTTACGCAGGGAAGGGCTGTGTGGAAAAGCCCTGGATGAGGGTTTCGGGGACGGTTTAAGGATAAGGGGGAAGGCAGTGGGGTGGGGAGCTGGCGGGGTGATGGAGCGAGCTGTGCCTTTCCGTGTTGGCCAAGGCGATGTTCTCAGGGCGCAGCAGGATGTTGGCTGGAGCCACGCTGGGCAGGGGGCTTCTGGTGCAGACCTTCATTCTAGATGACTGAGCACTGGAAAATGGTCTCAGAAGAAACAGCAGGTAAGCACGTGTGTCAGGCGCCACGAGGGCGTGGCAGCACAGGGCTAATTGTCCCAGCAAGTGTGACTGACCGGGCCCATGTTCTGTACATGATCTTAGCCCAAACTGGTAAAGCCAAAGAATCATTTACAATTTTCCTTTTATTTTGGAGACAGCGTCTTACTCTGTTGTCCCGGCTAGAGTGCAGTGGTGTGATCATGGCTGACTATAAACTGCCAAATTATCTCATTCCCACGTTCCATTTTTAGAGCAGGGAGTTTTATTTTTTCTGTTTGGAAAATAAGAAAGTATTTACTCAAGTGGCTAGAGCGCTAGCCACATACACCTGGGCCAGAGGGTTCGAGTCCAGCCCGGGCCCACCACACAACAATGATGGCTGCGACCAAAAAATAGCCGGACGTTGTGGCGGGCACCCGTAGTCCCAGCTGCTTGGGAGG